AGGGGACTGCATCATGTTACAAGGTAACGAAAAGTTTAACTCATTAACTGCGCATTTATAGGTTCTCTGCACAATAACAATGGACGCATATTGTCGAGATCTTGTTTGTCTGAGTTCGCCTGGGATTCTCTTTCAAGTTCACAACCAACAAACAGCTAAAATGATACATGAACGGTCCAAGATGGCAGAATTAGGTGAAAAGATTTTTGCAACCGTTGATGAGCCTAACGTAATTTCTAGAGTACGAGCTCGTACGAACCGTGGAAAACGCTGGACAGAAGAAAGCTTCAAATTTTAAGGGTGGAGTTCGCTAATGAACTGTGGTGGGGGAGATAGCTGGAAAGCTGGCATTTTAGGGGAACGTTCCAAGCCTAGACGCGATTCGTAAAATTCAATTGAATATGCCTGCGTTTCAATTTTTGATCGAAAATTTTATAGCTTAGCGACCAAACAACATCCTCATGATTTCTACACGTTCGTTAAGAGTAAGCTCTGCTCGGAAAAAATATGCAAAATGCATGAACGTATAGCAGTAGTATTTCTTATATTTATTCCTATCCAGCACAATCAAACCTCAAACAGTAAAAAGCTTGATTTCGGAAACAACTCAAAAATGCACTTTTAATTTTTAAAATTATTGGAGAAAACACCAGGGTCAACGCTTTAGGCTTATTCGCAGATAGTCAAAACCTCCGCCATACTCATTGTTCAGGAATGATTGGATTGCTTAGTAGGAGTCCAACTGTCAGTGAAAACCGTTGAAAACGTCAGTGGAAACCGTTCGCTCTTGAGGAAGTTAATGCGGCCCTCATTCGAGCAGTGCGCAGAAGTAAGCTGATATCGAGGTCGACTGCTCAGCATCTGCAACTAACTTTTTTTCAGATCTACAAACAAAAAAATTTTGTTTCACATTCCGAGGCCCGAGAAATTTGCCGTCTTGACGGAGGTGATTTGGCCTCGATCCACAGTGAACTGGAAAATCATTTTATTAACAGTGCGTTGCTTTCTGTAGAAAGTTTTATTTTTTTTGAAATTTTCATTAACTGGACAACTGTTAACTGCAGTCTACACCACACACCCCAAACTTGCTTTATGAAAGAGAAACTGAAAAAGTCTGAAGGCGATAGCTAAGAATCTGTTGGAAAAATTTCCAAGCAACAAATCAGAATCTCCAAAATGATTTCTTCCTTTAGATCGTTTTGCACACATTCTCCTTAGTCTAAAATTTCACCTTTTCTTTCGGCTTAAATCTCTTGATTGTAGTTTGAGAAGGCTGTCATTTTGCAAGAATATTTGTATATTCCAGTGCGATTGAAATATTTTATTTTCAGCTTTAAAGCACGCCTAGGTCTTAAATAACTTGTAAGCAAGCGGAGAAGGAGCAGTATTTTTCTGAGGATGTTTGCTATGCTCAGGCTCCCAAGCATGCGAATAGCTTCTGCCCATGGCTTGTGTAAATGTACAAACTGCAGCGTCATATTCATACCCAATCTTTCTGTGGAATGGAATCATATCAAAACATATGATCGCGCCGGTAGGTCTCGTGCGTCACCATCTAGCTTTAAAGCTATGCCGTTACTAAACTGTGCGTCAAACTTTCTCAAAAACATGTCTAAATTTGTTTAATTCGTCAAAAACAGTTATACAGTGCGGAGACACTCGTCTTCCTAGGAAGACAGTGTATCTTTTCGCGGTCTAGGAAAGGAGACATTCGAGGAAAGGTGATGATACTCGATGCAAAGCAGTGACATCTTAAGGGAATTAAAGCCTTGTCAAACGCTTTTCTTGGGATAACCGTTGAGCTGGAAATTTCTTTAGGAATGAAATAAATGCCACGTCTACCTGCAAAATGAGCAATAAGTAGTGCAGCGCTGGGCAGAGCAACAGAAAAAGCTGTGGAGAACTGCACTGTGAACTGCAGCTGATCAAATTACTTAAATATAGCACTAGCTATTTCTAAGTTGTTTTGCAGACCTCGCAATAGAGGCGAAGGCTGGCAACCTCCCTCTACTGATCGGGATAATGACAACGCCAGGAAATGTGAGCGGAGAGTACTGGACGGATGGAACGCCAGTGGACTTTACGGCCTGGTCGACACCGCCATCTGAGAGGAATTTTACCGATAGCTGTGGCGTTACCTATCCAAGCAGTAACGATGTTTGGAAGTATGTGTCATGTGATCAAGCAACAATCAAAGCTGTGGCCTGTCGAATTCCTCTCTACGTATGCGAGTGACAGAGCTGAAATGAAATAAATTTACAGTGTCATGTGGCACGTTTATTCATTAAACAGAGCATAGCTTTGAGAAAGCACTTTTAATTTCGGTAAAAAACTGATGGAAGTTTTCAAAACCAAACAGCCGGTTTTTTGGTGAGATAAAAAAGATTTTCAGAAAAGCAGATTAAGAAACGTTTCATTAGAAAATTAGCTGCGATGTGTATTGAGAAGTGCTGCTTTCTCTGATGCTTTGACCATTTCTTTTTTCACTGTCGTGTTTTT